AACGCCCAGCTTCGATGGCTTCTTGGGCAACATCTCCAAATTTCGCTGGGCGCAGGATGTGCCGCCACCCACAGATCCCTGGAAGTGGGGTGGCGCCATCGGCGCATGGATACTCAGCCCTGCGCAGGTAGACGCCCTAAGCCCTAAACCCTCAAGCCCATGACTTAGGGTCCCCAAATTTCCTCAATTTCAAAACTTCAAAACTTGAAAATCCGGAGTTCGCCCCCCAAAGCCTAAGTAATGGCAAAGAACCACTTCGGAGATACCCTGAGCTTTGTGAAGGACTCCAACAGAGTGGGCAGTCAAAGCAGCCGACCTACAGCCTAGGCTCCGAAGGCAAGTTGGTGACCTGTGAGTCAGGGTTTAGGGTTTGGGGTTTAGGGTTTCAGGTGTAGGGCTTTAGGGCTTTAGGGTTATTGGGTTTGATGTTCATCAGAAGGGGGTACAAAGGTTATAAGCTGCTAGATCCTGGATCATTTTGTGTTTAGGTTAGGAGAGGGTCAAGATACATGTGGTTACAAGGATTACACAGGGTTAAGTTGGGAACAAAACAAAAGGGGAATTCTAGACTATCTAGTGAGGGCCCAAACAGTTTCAACCATGGAGGGGCAAATAGAACATGAAATCAAATGACACGTCAACTGCTGGGATCATATTGGGGATTGCAGCACCACCTTGCCTTAAGACAAACCCTTCATCCCCCCCACCGAAAGTAGTATCGGCTTGTTTTGGCGCGGAATTCTCAGCCGGTGTGGACGGCTTTGTTGTTACAGAAGGGATTGCTTAGAGGTTCACGGTAATCATAACCCCATGAGGACTGGTACTTATAGCCCAATTATCCAGAGTTCCCCTGGCTCCGTCTCGACGCCTAAGCCCGAAGCCCTGAAGCGTAAACCTATGTGGGGATCGTTTGGGATTTATATTTGGAGTTTCATGCGGAATTAGGTACAAGTGTAACCCTACCTTAAAATACAAATTATGACCACCCGAACCCCTAAACCCCAAGCCTTTTACTGCCTCCAGGTTCACGTTCCTGGGAGTTGAGAGTTTAGGGTTGATGGTTCCCGCCGGAAAGTTTTACCTTGAAGAGGCTCTGCAGATTCGGAAGGAGGGTTTCAGGTTCAGGGCTCATAGCTAGTGTACATAGATGGTAGTTTCCCAGACCTGGATGAGATGAGTGTTTGTCAAGGCTGAGGGGTACATTCGGGTCATCATGACAATAATTTTTTGGGTAATGCAGAAAAGGGCTGAATATTGGCAACTAACGACACAGACCCATAGGCCTGTTGGGGAACGTGCCGTCGTAAAGTTACACAGATACATTACGTGGGCACAGCACACATTTTTACTACGCGCTGCTCTTCGCCGCCCCCAGAAAGTGTATTTTCTCGTGTGCGAGACTCTTTAAGCCACCAATGTTCAGGGCTTACGGTAGGGTTTAGGG